CCAGAACCAGAGAGAGAGCACAAGAGTCCTGGCTCCCAGCCCCCCAGCTCTCAACACCAGTCCCCCTCCCCTCCAAGATAGGGAGAGAACCCAGGAGTCCTGGCTCCCAACCTGTAAACTGGAAAACAAACAAAAACAAAAAAAGCAAGGGGGAAAGTATACCTCACTTGGCGCTGGATGGGAGCCAGTGCTCCCTAAAGGCAACAGGCCTCATGTCCCATCCCCCATATCTGGCCCCAGGGCTAGAGACAAATTACACTAGGCTCCACTTTAAGTGCTACTGAAGTTCATCTGAAGAAGTGGGCTGTGCCCACAAAAGCTCATGATTCCATCTCCATGTTTTGTTAGTCTTTAAAGTGCTACCAGACTATTTGTTGTTTAAGTTTATCCTGTACAGACTAACTCAGCTACCTCCTGAAGCTTAAGTGCTACTGTAATAGTTGCACTTTGACTTTTATATCCCATTTGTGACCCCCAACTACCTGATTGCAGTGAGTTCTGTTGGCTCTAAAATACTCCATGTTGAAAATTAAACACTGCATTACCATATATAGTTTTTAAAAGGGTGGGTTTTTTTTATTTCTCCTCATCTTTTATAGTAGATTGATACAGGCAATTAAATAATTCTGCAAATAAAAAATGAACCAGAATAATAATAAAAAAGTTAAAAAGCAAAGGAGTTAAGTTAATTCATTCATACAGTGATCTCTCAAGGATGCAGCATGAGGAAAATGGAGGCAGAGAGAGAGAAAGGAATTAAATTTTAAAAAGTTACTTCCAGTTCCAAAAATAAAAAATAAAATAAAATAAAATAAAGAGGAAATTGTTCCCCCCCCTCCCCAAAAAACACAAAACAGAACCCAAAACAAAAATGGTTTACGGACAGCAGCAGAGAAGAGCAGAGACCAAGCAGGAGTCTAATACAGGCAAAGTTTGCATCAGCTGTTTCAAGGGCAGAGTTAAGGGTGCAACAGATTTCCCAGGATGCTGGGGAGGAACAAGTTTTTTCAGTGCATATGCCGCATTAAGCGAGAAGACATATTAAGAACAAACTGTACATTAAAAGAGGAAGACAGACCCTATGAGGAGGAAGGGGGTCACATTGGTAGTACAACTCAGGAGTACAACTCAGGAGGTGCTACAGGAGTTACAGTTCACAAGTCCAATATGGCAGCCTCAGCTATGGAGGTCAGGAATCCAAGTTGACCACCATTCCACAGCCATGAATGCCAAGACTCAAAATGGCCTCTCTGGTCATCAAAGGCTTTCTATAGCCTCTGAGGAAAACAACCATTTTGTTCTTCACAGATGTAGCCAAACATAGGCCCAAAGTAGCAGCAATTTTCTTTCCTAGCACACATGCTCCAGACATTTTGCCACATAGGTTAAGAAACAAAATGGCCACATTTCCCCAGCCAGTGACATTCATTTTGATTCTGACCCACCCATCCAATGGCTGCTGTGTCTATTTTGTAGGTCAGGGAGTAGGGTTGCCAGATGGTTTCAACAAAAATGCCAGACACTTGACATTACATCACAATCTACATCTTATTTAGAAGTTACCAGACATTTCTATTTTCTTTGTTTGCTGAACAGATAGCTCAAATCCTGGACTGTCTGGTTCAAAACCAGACACCTAGCAACCCTATCAGGGAGTCAAAATAGCTGCCATTTGACAGCTATTTTTTAGCCATTTTGATTCACTGCCAATATGGACAACACTTGTCATCTCACTGAGTGTGGAATGGTGGCCATTTCGATTCCTAGTCTACATATCCAGTGGCTGCTATCCCACGATAGGGCAGTTCAGCCATTTTGTTTCCTAACCTACAGTGGCCACAGCTGCCACACAGTTGGCCATGGAACTGAAGGGGCCTACTCAACTTGGCACCTACTAGTTCAGGAAAACAAAAGGGCTACCAGCTCAAGAAAAATTTTAGGGATGTGGAATGGTGGACAGAAAACTGGTGCAGGCATTGGTGATCAAGAAAAGGTGCATGGTGGGAAAAATAGAGGACGCGGACATACCTTAATTTTTAATATATATATATAAAAAATATCGGAACTGAAGGGGCCTACTCAACTTGGCACCTACTAGTTCAGGAAAACAAAAGGGCTACCAGCTCAAGAAAAATTTTAGGGATGTGGAATGGTGGACAGAAAACTGGTGCAGGCATTGGTGATCAAGAAAAGGTGCATGGTGGGAAAAATAGAGGACGCGGACATACCTTAATTTTTAATATATATATATAAAAAATATCT